TTAGTATATTTTTAATGATGAATGAAGATGCCTTCATTTGTTTGCTTAATCTAAAGTCCCAAGAAGAACTTTAGTTCACCCATCATGCTCATCTTAAATTTTGTCCGTGTTAACCTGAAAAATCCTTCTTATTGATTATAGCCTTGAGCTACCAATCTAGCCTTATTCCTATTCACTTCCAAAGGAGACTAATCCTTCATGTGGTTGGAGGTATAAGAAGATAGACTTTTCTCCCACCATGTGTCGTGAGCACCCATTATTTAGGTACTAGTGTGAATCCTTTCTTCTTCCTATTAAGGATATCTACAATAGAGATTATTTGATATTTTGGTACCTATATTTTCTTGAGTCCTTTTCTATTAGTCCCTATGCCCTTGGTCTTATTCTTTCATCTACATGGAGCTTTATCTCCATTTCTACTGGCTTTAAGAAGAGAGACCTTAGTTTTGGCTTAAGGTATCCTTGAACTATGGTCAAAGCCAAAACCACTTTTGTTAAATGAAAGTCTTCTATGATTTAGAAGCATGTTTAACTTAGAAGATCTAGCAACAAACTTGGTTAAGTCTTTCCTGAGTTGTAGGTTTTTAGCTTCTAATGTTGTAACCTCAGGTGGGACAAAGCTAGTTATCTTGTCCTTGAGAAATTTTATTTCTCATACAACATCTAACATTTTCTCCTTGAGTTCAAGATTTTTTTTCTTCTAAAATCTTGTTTTTCTTTAAGTTTCTTGTACTAAAGATACATCGAGAGTTTGCTAGGGAAGTCTCATAGGACATCTCATCATCATTGAATTCATATGAATAAATACTAGAGTCAGATTTTACCTCTATATCTGTAGCATTTGACTTAGTGTTTTCCATGAGACATATGTTGGCCTTCTCATATTCTAAATTACTATTTTCGTTGTTATCTAGATCCTCCCAGGTGGGCATTAGGCTTTTCTTAGCCTTCTTTTTGGAAGACCATCTCTTCCTCTGTGAAGGGCAATCAACCTTCATATGCTTAGACTTATTGCATTCATAGAAGACAACTACTTGATCATCAATCTGAGTGGGCTTTCTGAACATATTCTTCTTTCTATGGAACTTTCTCAATCTTCCTTTTTTCTTTAGCATATCCTTAAACTTCTTAGACATGAGAGATATCTCATCGTCTATGGAGTCTTTGGAATTATCATCTGAGTTGCTAGGCTCAGATTCTTCCTTTAGAACTTTTCCTTTTTCTTTCCTCTTGCAATTCTCACTACCCTTTAAAGCAATAGCGTCATTTATTTTAGAGTGATATTTATTATTCAAGTAAACCTCATGAACTGGTAAAGCTCCAAGAAGTTCATCAAGAGTGAGAACTTTAAGATCATGTGCTTCTGAGATAGTTGTGGCTTTGGGTTCCCAGATCATAGGAAGGTTGTCCAAGATCTTGAGATTATTCTAAGATCTAGAGAACTCACTTCCCAGGGATTTTAACCTATTTAGAATTGTTTGGAATCTTCCAAACATTTCTTCTATGGATTCACTCTCCTTCATTGAGAACAACTCATAATGTCTCTAAAGTGTAACAACTTGTATGAGCCTTACAACTTTAGTAACCTTATGAGTTACCTTGATGGCATCCCACATTTCTTTAGCCTTTGAGCAGTTGCAAAACTTATTGTACTCTATTTTGTATAAGGAGCAAGCAAAGATGTATCTTGCTTTAGTATTGAGTTGCAATTTGTTATAGTCATCCTAAGTATATTCGTTCTCAGGCTTGGTAACAACAACATCACCTTGAGTGATGATTCTATGAAGGTGGTATTGGGTAGATTTGATGAACATCTGCATTCGATCCTTCCAATACGAGTAGTCTTCTCCATTAAAGGCTGAAGACCTTGTAAGAGAAGCTCCTTCTAGTAGATATAGGCCTTCACTAGTTCCTATCTGAATCTTTTTTCCTTTAGCATAGTTAGATCCTCAACCCCATTAAAGACTAAGCTCTGATATCAAACTGTGGAGAAAAGATAGTCATTAGAAGGGGGGTTGAATAATGAATATCAAGAACTCGCACTTTCCGTAAGAGAATGAAGTAGTATCTGCAATAGATAAAGTACTAGAAGAGTAATCAAAAGAATAGTGAAAAATTCTATTGGTTCATCTCAAACATAGAGACTACGTCCAATTCTCAATTTAATCAGATTGAGTTCCATTAAATTTCTCAAAGTTACAAGTATTTTTTCCCAAGTCACTTTTGGCTCTACAACAAATGTTCTTTGATTGGCCTCTTCAAGCGACTACCTAAGTATTCTTTTAACAATAAACATCTCCAGACTCTACAACAAGTATTCCTTTACAAATAAGCTGCTCAACCTTATAACAATGGTTATAAAAGTTACTCAAATGTTGTGTTCGTCTCACTTAGATGTTATACAACAAATTACATAGCATTGAATGTATACAAGAAAGAATGGATTTTCAGATAGTGTTTTTGTACAAATGTATATGTCTCAATTCAATTGGTGTCTCTCTTGTGTAATTGTATCTTTTATTTTTCTTAAGCGTTGAATCTTCATATATAATAGCTCGAAAAAGATAACCATTACAATACTTTAAGTCCAACTCACAAGTTTGCTTTGTCTATCTTCATTATCTTCCCTTGTGGTGGTAAGTAACTATTTGGCACATTTAATGCGAGCATTAAATGCTTTTCACCTAATAGTACCTCTTATCTGATCAAGGAGACTACTTATCAACTTTCCATACCAAATAGAGCTTGTAGAAGCAATGTTAGCATAGAACAACTATAGAAGTGACTTTATCTACTTTTCTCAATGATTTCAAGGATTTGATTTTGGCGGAAAGTATAATTCTTCTCTTTAACAAATTTGTAAGTTCTGAGACAGTCTTTTAATTTGATCTATTAAGGAATGAAACATTCAGAGTGAACTTAGTCATTAGTCTCAACAAGAAATAAATATTTAATGTGTATGATACAAACTGTATGCTTCATCTAATTAACAATCTTCTTACAGACGATTTGGTCTTACACTTCATCTAATAATCTTTTTAAAGATACGTTTCAAAGACGTTTTCACAAACATTTCTTCTATATAAAAACACTTAGTTTGTTAGCATTAAAACTTTGAATTTAGGGAATCGTCTTTTGACTTAACAAAATCTAATCCAAACCATAGTTTTATTTGTATGAACTTTAGATGCCATGAAGTCAGGTACTCATTCTTGATAAAGGTAAATGGCTAAGCTCCTTTTAAGCTATAAGTTACTTACTTAGTCCATTTTCTCTTTGTGTATATTTTTGCTTGTAAATATTTTCCTTATTTTTGAACTTGTATTTTTGGTCAAGTAGTGTACAAATTTATTGTCTTGTGATTTTTATTTTATGGGTGTAAATAGTATTTTAGGGAAGTGCAACTAAAAAATGATATATAGACTTATTGAACTTGAATGACCCATGAGCACCTACTTAGACACATGATCCAAGTGGATGATCGTCCACTTGTATTACACAAGTGGAGTGGACGTTCAAAACATGAAGGGGACAAGGTGTCTCATAAGCCATTCAAGTAGTTAACATGTCACCTAGCCTTACTTAGTCACATCTTTAGCACCTTGTGACAAGCTAACATTGGCTCTTCTAGATCTAGGATGTTGACATGAGTCACTTTTTTTGTCTTGCCATGTGACAAACTTCTATCAGCTCTTATAGATTTAGGATGGTGACTTTTTTAGAAGGGAAATTCAAATTTCAAATTATAACTAAGGTTAGTAGTCTTGAGTTTATGTTAACCTAACCTAGGTTAACTTAACTTACACCACAAGCTACCTAACCCTATATATATATATATATATATATATATATATATATCCCTTCTCCATTGTATGTGTCACTTTGAGCATTTTGAGAAATAATATTTAGATTTTCTCTCTCAAAAATCTAGTTCTCTCGTTGGAGAAAACCTCCCCATATAAAATTTTATCAGGGAATTCTTTCTTGTGACAAGTTCTTCACCATTCTTACTTATCTTCCTTGAAGTGGCATGGACCATCCTTATCCTCTTCCACCATTTTGAGTTTCTTTTGAGCTTTGAAGGTTCATGGATGAAGAATGAGAGCACATTGAAGTTACCTGAAGAGAAGTATCAATCATCTCTCCACTAATTTCATTAGTTTGTGTAGCAATGTCAAGCAAGGTAATTTGTGAATGTAACACATAAAAAATGTATATGATATCTATTGTTGAAACATGTAAGGTTAGATTAGATATGGATCACTAAAGAAAAAGTAATAGTACGAGGTTGGAGATGTGTTGCATTGATATGATTATGCACATCAATTATGATTAAAACTTAAAAGTATACAATTTCAATAAATAACATTAAGCAAATAGTCCCATATTGCTAAAAAAAAAAAAAAAAAAAAAAGGACCATGTTGCATTCAAGGACAGATCTAGAACACAATCAAAGTTGTTGGATTTTTTAATAATGAATTTAAATAAATATTAAATCATTATTGTTAAATACATTATATTATTTATTTAATTTATAAATATTTTTTTTAATTATATAATCATTAATAATA